TTCAGAGCCACTGGAAAACAAATGTAGTTATGTATCAAACTGGGTTCTTTTGTTTTTTTTTTTTTTTACCAAATAGTTATAGGATAGGCTGATGCAGAATGGCAGCCACAAGTCATACAGTCAGGCACAGGGCTGCTATGGCTACACAAATGTACAACTATAGTCACAACAGGCATAAGAAAATAGTCAAATATGTCAGTGATTTCATTCATTCAGTTCTTCCTTCGAGGGCCACATATATATCTAGACATGACAACCATTTCAAACATTTAGACATTTTAAGTAAGTAAGTAAAGCTTATTTGTATAGCGCCTTTCACAGACCAGGATCATAAAGCACTTCACATTTAAAACATACAGATTAAAAATAACAATTATACTTCAAATAATTGTATCCTCTTATTTTGTTCTAGAATGTTAATGTTAAAATAACATTTTGAGACACCAGAAATGACGTTAAATCAGCCGTTGTTTCCACGCTGCTGACACAATGAGGATGCGCAGCAGTCAGTCAGGCAAACACAGTGTTATTAGCTTCTTCTACAACTCTCCGATTCGTCATATAAAAACGCAATAATGTCCATGCTTTATGGATTCTCGTCAGGATGCGCTCTCATATCCTTATTACGCTTTCAATTCTGGTCATTAATTTCAGCGTATAATAGCCCTTTTGTGCCTGCGTGCTCGTGTGCTTCGTTGCCACTTTTCAGTTTTTCAGTCTTGTTCAAACCTGGTCAGTTTTCCTCAGAACAACGTTGTGCTGTTTGCTGTATCAATATGTAATTAGAAGCTGCAGTCATGCTGCAGTTTGGGCTCCGACTTCCTTCTATATCGTCATTATGAGCTATAGTACAGACAACAGGCCAGGATGGGGCTGAGGCGTACGGGCGGTTTGCTGGTTAATGGGGCCCCTCTCTTCTTTAATGAGCGCTGTAGTCGTTGCTCTCTGCGCTGTCTCCCTCATTACTTCCGTCTACACTCCTGTCCCTGCGTCTTCTCTTTGTTTCCTTTGTACCTAAGCGTCTCTACAGATGCATCGTTTCTTGGATGGTTTGTGTCGGTGAGTCTAAAGTGCTAAAAGTGCAGTAGGTGAGGCTGGGTACAAGGTTGGAAATAGCAGTGAGTATGTTCACATGGGAACCATGTGGGCCGCGCCTCAAAACTATTGCTATGTTCAAAATGTTGATTCTTCTTGCTCCAAAGTGGTCCACATGTTATTTTTCTCAGTAATCAATTCAGGAGGTAAAATATGTGTTCCGGTACATACAGTTCTTGCATGTGAAAACGTGATCTTGCCTGACCTCAGAAGCCAAGCAGGACAGAGCTGGGTTAGTTCTGTGATGGGAAATCTACCAGAAAACCTTGAGGTAACAAGGTTGTGCGCCTGTAAAGTGTTAAACTATCACTGTGTCCTTAGGCAAGACACTTCACCCAGATGGTGTCGGGTGTATGAGTAGTATGTATGTTTGATTGGTGGTCGCAGAGGCTGATGGCCCGGATTAGTGGCCTCACTTCTGTCTGTTCAGCTACAGCTCTGTTGTTTTATAGCTGCTTCCCCACTGAGACTGGTACTATATGATAACACAGCGTACACAAGACCTTTTTTTGGGCGGCACAATGGCTGAGTGGATAGCACTCTCGCTCACTCTCAGCAAGAAGGTCCTGGGTTTCTACTCCTGGTCGTAACAGGGCCTTTCTGAGTGGAATTTGCATGTTCTCCCCGTGTCTGCGTAGGCTTCCTCCGGGTACTCCAGTTTCCCCTACCACTAAAAACATGTACAATAGGTATGAATGTAAATGAGAGAGTGAATGGATGGTGTTGATTGGGAGCTAATGCGCCAGTGTGTTTGGGGACTCGCTTCTGTCATCACCGTGTGTGGAATGATTGGAACAATATCTGAACTCTGAACATTGTAAAGCGCTTTGGGTGACCTTGGTCTGTAAAATGCGCTATATAAATAAACATTACTTACTTACTTTACTTTCATCCTGGCCTTGTATTTGCTCGTCATATGAACCAAGACACAGGGATTTACTCAGAATCATTCTCGACCCTTTTCCCTTCACTGGTGTAGCACATTGTTCACCAGCCGTCTGTCTGATTCTGTCATTCAAACAAAGTGTCATATGTATTTACTTGTACCTGGAAAACTTAAAGATCTAACTGTAGTGCTTATCACCAGACAGATTTTTAAAGAGGTGCCTGAGAGCTGTGCACTCAAATACCTGCGCAGCAGCCACACTGTAATTTGTTGCTTGGAAACAAAAATAATTAGGAGGATTAATTATGCATTACAGAAACCGGCCATGAGAGTCATTGTAAAAATAAACATTCATTTTGGACGTCATAAGAACCAGTCATTCTTTGTTTATGAAGACTTCTCCTTTGAATAAGACCGTGCAATAGGATCTGTCTTCATAATGGGGGGAAGCGTGAGTTATTGGCACTGGAGGCTTATGTTAGGTGCATTGTGGTCAATTGAGGCTGCAAAATTAAAAGTGCATGCACTAAGTGAATATAGAGACTGAGATGAGTAAAGCAGTATTCAGTTGAGTTCCTACTGTTTAAAAAAATGTCATGATTATCGCCAAAGTAGCCCAACGAAGTCTAACAGGGAAGTGCTCAACAGATTTTCATGCCGGCTCTTGTAGACCTAGTAAAACTTCAAGCTCCGCCACCATTAGTGTAGGTTCTCTGTCAATTCAGGACGAGCTGTTTGTTTGTTAACATTGAGGTCAATGGGAACATTACCTGTACAGCCCATGTGAATTCAAGCTGAAGACAAGTTTAAACTGGCAATACCTTATCCATAACTTATCCGCATTCGGCAAACACTATGGGTGATGTCACTCCCCAGTGAACCAGTCCGTCTATGATCAACACAAAACTCACTAAATTACTTCTCTTTTTAAATGTTACTTCACAACACAACTTTGTTTACTCCAAAGGTGCTAGATGTACGGTACTGCAGTTTTAAAAGAATCTTGAATATGCTATATCTCACTTTGATCAAGCATACGTTTGTTCAAAATCCTGCTAAAAGGTTGCACAGACCAATTTGTGTTGCTCCCTAAGCATTTTGCGGAATTGCCTTCAAAGATCATGCAGTGCTTTATACTACAGATCCAGGAACCATTATAAAATCACATTGTACGATACAGTGACTTTCGATACAGTTTTGACCACAAGTCTGTAACCCCAGATTAACAAACAAATAGCTTATCACTAGAAATAAAACAAAATGATCCATATGTTGAAAAATACTCAAATCAAGAACCTATGAACTAATATTTGCAGCACTATAACACAGTTCTAACAGTGAAGTGAAATATCTTAAGTAAATAGTTTGCATACTCATTGTAATTACCATTTCGTCAGCGTGAATGGTGTGGAGAGTCAAATCAGATGCCGGATGTATTATTCAGTCCAAACTTCTCTCGGTCCTTTGATGCCACTCTTTGTGATGGCAGACTTTTTTCCCCCAGAGGAGAGCATCTGCAGCTTCATCCTCGCGCCTTAAATCAGGAGGCAGTGTAAAGGCGTCACGATGGCAGGGGGCTAACAGGAGCTGACACCCGCACACCTTTGCACCTTTGTTTGTGCAGTGACAAGTAAATACTTCATTGCAAAGATGCGTCAGAAATATGGCGTCGGCATAAAGTTGCAGAATTATCACGGCAAAAAACAAGAAAGAGTTCTGCGTGACTCAAAGCATTCAGTACGTTCTGATGGAAAGAACAGGGAAATTAGGAAATCCTTATTTCTTTGACTGTAACATGAGCATACTGTATGAGCATTGGCCTTTCACAGTTGATTGTTTTGGCCACATTATGAGTGAAAGAAAAACACTTGAATTCCACTTGACATTGTGATATGTCAAGCAATAAATTGTCAAATTAACGTGTTTTATATACTTAAATTAAAATATAATTGAGCCAAGAAGAATGGACAGTTTTACCATCGAAGAGGATGAAGAACCTTGAAAGGATTTTCCAGTGTTATTATTAACTAGCAAACATTAATAGCAAGAGGTCAACATGTGTTACCATGAGATGTTAAACAATTATAAAGCATAAAATAACACATTATTTATTCATCCATATGTGAGAAAGTGAACTTTTAACTGCTTTTATTTGTGTGGTGTGTTTTTATATTTTTATTGCATGCATTTTAAGCACTGTTCCCTAAATACCCACACCTGCTTTTAATCAAGACTATCTTAAACTGCAGGAGACAGCGAGATACAGAGACAGTGCGGAGACAAGAGGAGGAGGCCACGGGACCGGGCCAAGGACGAGCACCGCCAGCCAGAGACCACAGGGGACTGAGGCCAGCGGGGAGAGTGGCACCGGCCGGGGGCGCGCATTGACAGCGCAGAAGGCGCGTGCGCGCCGGGCTAGGCCCACTCTCCCCCGCGGGTGCCCGATGGTGACCCGTGGTTGGCGAGTGGCTGGTGGGAGTGCGGCCCGGTCCCAGGACAGAAGGGCTTGGAGGACACAGACCAGTGGACTACAATTTTATCCCCTTTTTATCCTCTTGCTTTTTTTTATTGATCACACCCCCTCAACAGACTCTTAACCTGTGACACACACACATTTAACTCATAATTGATTAATATCACGTGTTTTATCAGTATGCAATAACAAGCCTCTCTCTATTTTAGGTCCAGTTTTGGTTAAGTCCAAGCATGTAATAGTTTTGTTTGGACAAAAATATAAAACTGAAAGTGAAATAAACAAATATGTTGGTCTAAATACCAAAAAAAATAAAAATAAATAAATAAAAAATACAAAAGATGAGCTAACAACAAACTTCCCATAAAGAAGACGCTAAACCTTTTAGGACTGTAACATTTCCTCTCCCCTTATACACGGGCGAGGGGGCAAAGAGAACTCATTCACAAACAAGGAAAGACAGCCGCAAAGTATAAAAACTTGCCTTTATTGAACAAAGGTATAGATTCTTCAACTCTTCAAGACAACAGCACTGAACGAACGTGGTCAGTGTGGATTAGCAGCGCGAGCCTCCATGGCTGAGGCCATCCTCTCCATGAGTCCGACCACAGCCGTCATGTGGGTGTCGATGTTGTTGAGTAAAGCCTCGTGCATCTCCCTGCTGTGCTGGAGGAACCGCTCCTGCATCCGCTCCAAACACTCCACCAGCTCGGAGCTCTCCCGCCGCTTACGCTTCACTGTCAACAACCAGCGCCGTTAAAAGTGGCCAAGAAACCGCTGTGGACTGAAGTCACACTACTGCATGTACAGTAAACTCATTATATTGTTAAATGTGTTAAAAAGATTGAATACTAGTCATCATCAATACTTTGGACTGGTTTAGTTTTGTACTTGACAAACTCAAATGATGTGTCTACTGTCTACATATTTGATGAAGGACAATTTATTTCTCCCATTGTTGTAAATAAGTCTTTCAAACTTTCTACATATTTTGGACCAAGTCAGAATGACTTTTAATCTTGAATAGGAAAAACTGAATTCAATACACTTTATACTCATTCTGCTATTTGATTATAAGGACTTATTTGGGAAAAGGATTTTTGTGAATAAAAATATTTAAAATATGTAACATTTCAAACAGACAGTGGGACTGCTAAGACAATTACTCTACAACAGAACGATGCCAGGAACCTATTAATCACGAAAACACTGAAACATATAAGCTGTATTATAACAGCCCTAATCACATAAAACTAGTTCTGTGTATGTCCCTGCATTTCCTAGTGTCGGCTCTCTCTGCTCTGCTCACATAAACATAAACCACAGCTGATAGTGTGCCAATCCCCTCCTGCACCACAGGGGCGCCTCGCTCTAACGCATTACAAATACAACATTGTCCACATCGCTCCATAGCCTGCAGGGTTCAAAGAAATAGAAAAAGGTAGCGGCTTATAGTCTGGCAATTACGATACTCAGTATAGTATAATAGGTCTTTATGCAGTAATCACTGAAAACAACATTTTTCAACAATATGAATCTTTCTCAGTGCACACGGTTTAACCTCACCTGGTCGGGAGTGGAAAGCCAAAGTTCTCACAGCGGGGTGGAAGCTGCTGCTGCTGACCGGTCGACTCTGCTCTGTGCTTGAAAATGGACCCGGGCTTTTCTCAAGCTCCGGTGCGCTGTCTGACAAAACCAACAGCTGCGCGTCAGGACCTAAAACAAATCCAGAACATTCAAGATGGGTTACCTAATATTGTTCATCTACCTTTTAAAACATTCTGTTATTCATTCTACAGCAACTTTTGATAATAATGAGTCCTTTACACAATGTGTCCAGCTTGGTGGAGATATATTTACAAATAAACGTGTGCCATGTCAGGTCCAATATGAAGATTGGTGGATGCAGGAGTAATCCTCCTCAATTCATTGTTTTGTGTAAATGTGTGTCTTTCATTTTGCTAAACACTCAGATATGTGACTTTATACTTTTATGTTATATTGTCACAATAAAGCAAAGTTTAGCTTAAAAATATTTAAAACAATTGTACAGACAAAATAAACAGAGAAATGAAATCATATTTAATTGATAATGACTAATTCGACCCTCTAAAACTTAAAACATTTCAGAGGGCAACAATCTACCCATTACTGCAAATAAATAGTACAGAGGAAAAATATTGATTCCCAAAACATAGTTTAATCCATCGGATACTGTGATTGTTGTGACTAATGTGAATAGTAGTGAGGTGCCAAAAGACAGTAAGGATAAGGAACAGGTTAGATGGATTGAAATCAGGTCCCTCAGCTTTAACTTACCCTCAGAGCTCCCTATGGACTCCACATTATTTTCAGTGCAGTTGGGCGTGAGGCCTTCTCTGGACGGTGTGTTGTTTTCAGTGGACTCCATGAACTCCTCTACAGAGTTCTCGGACAGGTGAGCAGCAGCAGTGGTCCCAGAGTACATAGGATGGTGACCCAGGATACTGTCCAGGATGTCGTACCATTTCCCTGTTTTGATCTCCGCTCCATTCTGATTGTTATAATCTTTGATCTTTTTATAGTCCTGTTTGAGTTTCTTCACCTTCTCCCTGCACTGTTTCGGTGTGTGCTGAATGCCATATGTTTCAAGTTCCTTTGAGATTTTGTCGAAGATTTTTTTGTTCTTATTTTGACCTTCAAAATCAGTCTGATTCTTTGTGTCGGCGTAAATGCTCAGGAGAGCTTGGACTTCTGCATCCATCCACTTCTCATTGTTTATTTTGAATTCTGAAAATAAAGCAAGAGCTCTAATAATATAACTTAAAATAGATCTAATACAGTCATAACAATCAAACAATTCCACTTCAAGGCTCCCATTCATCAAAGAAGACCTTGATTTTAAATACACAGGTTGATTGATTGCCCACTAACAAAAGCACATGGACGTCTTACGTGGTCTTTGCTGAGGTGAAGAGGAGTACGAGGTGCAGTCCACAACGTCTGCAACAACATGCAGTTTTTAACAGTTGGAGATGCAAATTATATATATTTCTTTAATAAATATGTATGTATGTGTGTTATGTATGTATGTAAATATATGTATAAATAACCATATTTCTTCATATCATATAATATTATAATGTACATTAGGTAGGGTATTTTAATTCTAATACAATGATCACAAAGACTTACCATCATCGACAGGCTGCTGTACAACAGTTTTGCTGTCAGGGTTGGGCACAATCTCTGGAGAAAAAAAAAAAAAGTCAATAGTGCCAGGCCATAGTGCATTAAGTAAACTCCTTAAATTTACACATCACATGTGACCCTAGGCTTTGATAATGAAACCTGATCTAAAAAACTATGTGACCCCCAACCATGATCTTTAAATTCCAAGTGTCAAAGATGTAAAGTTATCTTTATTTACTTACTAATAATTGTTAATGTTCAAAAATACATTGTCATAATTTTAGATATAGGTTTATCATGAAATCATCTTCTGGACCCCCGAACCCTGAAACGGGTCCAGTGTTTGAGAGCAACTGATGGTGAAGAGTCACAAATATAGTCAGGTCCAATCCATTCAACCGTCCTCGTCATTACAGAAATAGGATCACAGAGACCATGAACGGGACTCATACACCTGTATAATGAGTTATGTATATGTATGTATGAGTTCCTGCTGCTGAAGTATTAATACTTGAATTCATTGAGATTTACCAAATAATCTACTGGGATTCACAGATGCTCACCTAAAACTTGGATAACTTCATGGTCTCCTGGTCCTGACTCCACTTGGTTTTCAAAGCAGTCTCTGGACAGCGGGTGGTTTTCAATGGACTCCATGAACTCCTCTGCAGAGTTCTCGGACAGGTGAGCAGCAGCAGCAGTGGTAGTGGTCCCAGAGTACAGAGGATGGTGACCCAGGATACTGTCCAGGATGTCGTACCATTTCCCTGTTTTGATTTCCGCACCACTCAGGTTGTTATAATCCTTGATTTTTTTATAGTCCTGTTTCAGTTTCTTTACCTTCTCCCTGCAGTGTTTCGGTGTGTGGTAAACGCCATAATTTGCCAACTCCTTCGATACATGGTCAAATATTTTGTTAGTCTTTCTGTGACCTTCATATTCCTGCTCCAATTTTGTTTTTCCATAAACGCTGAGAAGAGCCTGAACCTCTGCGTCAATCCACTTGTCACCGTTCATTTTTTGGGCTGACAAAAACAGAAAAAACCAAAGAAGAATCAAACATGGGTTCTGAACATTTTCTACTCATCACCAACACTAACAGAAAGGTCACAATCAGTGTTAAACCAGTTACTGAAACTGGAGGCAGAACAAAAGCTGTTTTTAGACACAGTAAAAACATAATGTTGGCCATTTATTTTTATTTTTATCTTATTTTCAGGTATGATGATGCTGCCATCATCCCACAAAATGTGTTTAGAGGACCAATCACATCCCTTGACCATCTCCTCTTGACCGAGTGTCATTTAGACGATACGAAGTGATACAAAGCTCACATTACGATATAAACCACAATGTGACGATTCTGCAAACATCCATATACTGTATTGCTCAAATAATTGTCAACATCATGATTATGTCCAATTCAAAGTTTTACTTATTTCTTTGTAATTGTGTTTATTTTTGTTCATTTACTTTTTACATTATGAAGGTTTTTTGAACAAATGATTACTTTCAAACAAACATGGGTTTGCATAGATTTTTTCTGAACAAAATCAGTAGTTGGGCTAGGATCGAACGGGAGGAAAAGGCCTTTCAGATTTATTGTCCAATTTAATTTCATCCATTTGCCTATTAGTACCCAGTAGCATCCCAGCTCAAAATGGTCCGTGCGCATGTGCGCTGACAAGCTTGCAATCTCCCTCCTAGCAGGTGGGGGTGTACCCGGGAAGAGGATTACCCAATGTTTTTTTTTTTTGACCAGCCTAGTTTAGCTGCTGTGGACTTTTGAATGCACTCGTTAAATGAATGGGGCTAACCCTAACCCGGCCATTTTTAAAAAGCCCACAGACGGCAAAAGTGGTGGCACATTAGTTTCAACGGTGGAGAGTGGCGTGACTACATCTGTTTATTTTTACAATCTATGTTGGTACCACCGATGTGGTTGTCCTGAGAGAATAAGCTTTAAAATGAGGTATAACATGGTCTTCAGTCTTTATTGGGTTTTGACTTAATTGACTCCCATTCATTTAAATTTACTGCATTTATAGAAGATCGATTTTAGAAAATGTCTTTCAGCTTCATGCAACTAATGTTAGTTAATACATTTTTTATTTGTATATACAGTATATGTATAATTTAGCACACCCCAAGCGGCTCCCTACAGTTCACGTGGATAACTCATGAAATGTCTTTAGCTTTGTAGAATGAGGAAGGCTAGATACAGTGTGAACAAGCAGATTTTATTCTGGAAAACTGAAAAAGTTATTTTATTGTGAGATCTAACTTCCTGTTTGCCTGTGATATTACCTGGACTTCTCCGGCCTCCACCAAAAATAGACTGGTGTGGGTAACCGGAGCAGGACTGACTGCAAGCTGTGCACATTTATTTAATGACTTTCCAAATATTACCGAGGCCAAACCGGATCATCCATGAATTAAGATAAGATAAGATAAGATAAACCTTTATTAGTCTCACAGTGGAGAAATTCAAGTGTCATCGTTGCACATTACAGCAGAGAAAGGAAATAAGAGCACTGGGATGATACTGGGTACTAATAGGCAAATGGATGAAATTAAATTGGACAATAAATCTGAAAGGCCACCGTCACTTTACCTGTTGATATCTTACTGTATTATTCATATCCATCTGATAATTCTCCCATTCAAGTCACTTTACCTGTTGATATTATTTCTGATGTTTATTCTGCTCATATTCTCATATTCTCCGCTGCTAATGTATAATATAGACATCTGTAAATACTCCGAACCAAGTGCAATTGTAGCCCAGATTTTCTTATTTTATTTTATTTTATCTTAAATTTATTGTCTATTATCTTAAATAATAGACTTTGATGTGTGCAATCTGAGTGCTCTTATTTCCTTTCTCTGCTGTAATGTGCAACGATGACACTGAAATTTCTCCACTGTGAGACTAATAAAGGTTTATCTTATCTTATCTTATCTTAGATTGCATACATCAAAGTCTATTATTTAAGATAAAAGACAATAAATTAAGATAAAATAAAATAAGATCAAATTAGATAAACTCTGGGCTATAATTGCACTTGGTTCGGAGTATTTACAGATGTCTATATTAGCAGCGGAAAATATGAGAATATGAGCAGAATAAACATCAGAAATAATATCAACAGGTAAAGTGACTGGTGAAAGGCAGAATGATCAGATATGTAATAATACAGTAGTACTGATAACAGGTAAAGTGACTAGTGACAAAGTTACTAGTGAATTAACAGTGACACTTGTGCAGACTCAGCAGTTCCTGTTACACATTCTCGTTGTACAGTCTGACAGCAGCAGGAAGGAAAGACCTACGAAACCTCTCCTTCACACAGCGAGGGAGAGGTTTCGCAGGTCTTTCCTTCCTGCGAATTCAGTGCGAGTTCGAAGTTAATCACATGTTTGCAAACTATGTAAATGATCCATGGTATAAATTGGAACATAACTGAGAAAATAATACTACTTGACTCTTATTGCCTTTCCAATTATCACATTTCAACAAAGAAACAAAGCCTATAATGAACAGTCTTACCTGGTCTGTACGAGCTGCATTCTGGGGCTTCAGAACTGCACATAACTGAGGACACAAGGTACACTCGCTTTAACATGAGCTTGCTCTATACAGCTTCTATACAGAAAACTGTGAAAAACATATTTACCTGAAGAATTATTCTCTAAAGGCTCCATCTTCACTGCATCCAGTTCTGGTGCTGCTGGTGAGAACAGTATTTTATTCATAGTTATCAAAGCTGCAATTTACTACTTACACAAATACCCTGAATGATATTATTTGGCACTATAAATGGTGTGGAAGAATTATCTGTATAAAACATGTACGGCATCTAAATTAACTGACAAAATAAGTACATTGTGAAATTTAAAGCTATTTTTTTCTCCCAATATATCTGATCGCCCCAAAGTTTGAGTAAAACTTAGTTGTTTATTATTTCTAAACTGCACCTTCTCCACCGACTCCCACTGATGACTGCTGTCGTTGTGTCCTTGGGCAAGACACTTAACCCCACTTTGCCCAAAGCCCCCACTGAAAGATCAAGGCTATGCTCACACTCAGAGCAGCCGTCCTCCTGTGGACTCACCACCTGCAGAGGGTCAGTGAGGGGCTGGTGCTATGAGACTTGGGTGGCATCTCTGACTGCCACCCCCCTGACCCAGAAATGGATTAAAGGGAAGAAAATGGATGGATGGATGGATGGAGATGAAAACCAGAGTTGATTAAGTAACGCAGAAAAGTAGGCTCCAACAATAACTCCCGATAATAACAAAATTATTCGTACAGTGGCGACAGAAATGGACAAAGGGAAAGAAAAAAGGAAGGATGGATGAAAAACAAAATTGCTTTCACTATACTTTTCGTTTACAATACCAAAATGATTAAACCCAGGACTAAGTCTCACCAATTTCTTCAAAATCTTCTGGGGGCTCTGTCTTAATCGTCTCTGTGGTCTGGAGCGTACATTCTTCTTTGTCTCCGAGGATGAAGTCCACTACATTCAAGTCTATTTTGCTGCACAGACTGTTCCCTGGGTCTTGATCTTCTTCATTTTGAGCCCTGTGCTCTCTCTGTAATGTTTGTAATTGATCTAATATCCGTTCAGATGTCAGCTCATGTCCCTGTGCATTCATCTCCTTTTGGATGTCTTCGATGATTTCTTTGGAGGAACGCAGAAAGAGCAGTCTTTGGTGGAACTCGGCATCAGTGCAAATCTTCAGTAGGCAGTCGGTCTCCTGCACCGACCATTTCTCTGTGTCCAGGAGGAAAAAAAACAACAACATTCAGACTTCCATAACAATGATTCATACTGTACTTAAATCACTTGTTAACTATAATGTATAAGAACCGCCAGCCTTAACCCTTTCGTAGCGAGCAAAGTCATACACTAAATCTGGCCTCAGCTGTAAGAAGCCAAGCGGGGGACACATGGGAAGAAGATCCTGTCCCAAAATTAATGTTTGTCCCGAATGCAAGTAAATGTTTTATTCACACTAAAGGGTACAAAAGTGTGACAGAAGGTCAAAAAATAGATTTGAATAATCAGACGATATATTAATGTTTTTTATTTAGCCAAATACCTCTTCTGCTCATTAGTAGTTGCTGGACAAAAACTGTTTTATAGATTAGTCAAATTTTCTATAGCAGCTCTGTTTATCTGTGTCACGGACGTGATCCTTTGACGAAATGAGTTGCGGAAGTTTGTGACAAATTTGATCAATAGTAAACCAATAAAACAAATTTCCTTAAGTTTAATTTTTAGAAAAAAAATGTACAAAAATACTTTACATATTTTTCAAAGGTCCTTTAAATTTGTAATGATTATTTTTCAAAAATGATTCCTTTTTAAATCAAGTGATCATGGAGTTCATCTACTGCTTTGTCACTGATGACCGTTTATTTTCTATGTAACTGGAGTCACAGTAGAATGATCAAATCAAGCTGATCTGTTTTATTTATGCCAAAATGTATTTGTATTTTTTTCTATTTTCTTTGGATTCTATCCATAATGTTTCTTTGTTATGTGTGTTTGAATTTTTTTTTTTCTAATCTATGATAGTAATTTGAGTTTTTAAAGCCCAGATACTATCATTGACACTCACTACTGTGAACACACCCATACATAGAAGTACAGTATATATTTCTTTCTCTAGCGTTCACAGGTTTATGCTTGTTTAAGCTAAAGATAGAGATAATATTTTATTTTTAAATAATAGAGTTGCGCTATGTTACGCACCCAGGTATGGGATTGCGGGCACTCCTCCCCTTGCTCTAACAATTCTTGTGTGCAGGGTTGGATTGGCTGAGTGTCTGCACTGGGACTTTAAGAGGGGCGTCCCAGACAGCACTCTCACTCTCTTTCCGATTGCAGACACCTGGACCTGTCCAAAGGGTCTGGGCCTGCACACCACGCCACCAGCCACGGCGCTCTACACTTTTACACATAAGATTATCCTACTGATACTCATTCGTACACACGCACCACAGCAAATCCCAGACCATTTACACTGATTCCATATAATTGTTTGAATAAAACTGCCAGTGAGCCTTAAAAGTCTATGCCGTGCCCTCCCTCCTTTTTGTTGCCTTCCCATGAGCCAAGGGGAAAGTAACACGCTATATGTAACATTCACAATTTTGTGTTGTGTGTTCCTCATTCCTACTGTTCTATAATTTGCGATGCAACACTAAAATTTTCCAAATATGGAACAAGTAAAGGATCTTTTAATATAGCTTTGTCTTAATCAACACAATGTGGAAATTGAAGTAAAATTGGAGACAGACGTTTATGAGAAAGGCAACAATAATAACTTCCTCTAAATAAACAGAGTGATCAGTCGGTCACACACAGGACTGCGGTCACACTTTGATTAGTCTAACAAAAGAGGCATGGTGTAAATAAAAGCTCTAAAACATGCTGCACATTAAGTCCACCGACAAATACAAAAACATATAAAACTAAGTCATCTGTTTGATGATAGTTCATGTGTATATAGAGAGATTTAAATAATCTCAATGTAATTATCTTGAAATTTCTTTATATTGTTGTTAATGCCTAGCGTACATCGACAGAGAAACTGGGGACAACTAGTTGCAAGGCGGCTTTTGGCAACTGAGAGGAGATGGTGGGAGATGATCAGTTGCCGAAATCGGTCGATGTGCGCGCTCTTACAACTGGAGATGATCAGTCGGTCTCCAGTTCCAGTCAGTTGCCCGTGTTCTACTTTTCGGCAACTAGTTGTCCTCAGTTGCTCCGATGTGCGCGCTCCATGCGCCGCTCCAACAACGTGTGTGTATTGCGTGTATTGCGAGCCCGCAACAGTTTGTTGTCAGAAAACACACTGTGGTTGAGGCCAGTTGCTGTCGATGTACGCGCTGTTATTCAAGAGACTGGCCTGCGACTCAGAGTTGCCCGTTTTCGCCAGATTGTCGATGTGTGCGGGGCAGCAACTCAGAGGCGACGGATATAATCAGTTGCCAGTCCGATGTACGCTAGGCTTAACATGAATCCTCTCAAATGCACAAAATGTATTATTTGATTAAGCAAGATGTGGGTCGACAAAGACTGCTGAATTAAAATGATACAAGTTCTACACGTGCTCCACCATGTCACTCACACGACCCTCCCCCCGCCTCACTGGGCAGAGTGTAAGAACCCCCCCTCCTCCTCTCTTCTCCACACACACACAGGAACCCTCCTCCGCCTGCAGCACCACACTCACGCTCACACACCACATTAAAACAGCTCTCCGCAATCACACACACTTGCCATTATCTGCAGAAGACTGGGGCAGGCAGTTGTAGTCCTCCAGCTGCGATGCCTGCTCTTCCCCGCCACCAAAGACACACTCCAGAACCTCAAAGTACGGGTTCTTCTGCACCCAGTAGTCCCTGTTTTGTTTGGAGTGGTATTTCTGCTCCTTAAACTCCATCTTCAACTTCTTGATTTTATTTACTATCTGCTCGACCGCGCGATCGTGCCCCTGTGCAGCCAGCTCTCTCTGGATCTGCTCATACTGTTCCTTAGTTCGTGTAGCTCCTTTGTGTTGATTCTTTGTCTCTGAAGAGGACCAGATTTCCAGTAGACATATGGTTTCGGCGACTGACCAGTACTGCTTAGTCCTGCCCATATTCGCAGCCATTACTGACTGGCTTTTGCAGGAAGCTCCGAGTTCTTTGCTGTGTGCCTGTGTCTGGCTGGAACCGGTTTTCTCTGCCCTCAGCCAGTTCTAGTTCCCTTTCTGCCCCTCCTCCACCCGTTCTGAGCAGTGAGTGCGCGTGTGTGGGAGGGAGAAGCGACAAGGGCTGCCTGCAACAAGAACTGTGGTTTCCTCTTTCAGTTACTGCCACTAGATAGAAGGGGAATGCCATGTCAGAATCCCAGGATTTATCTGCAGAACTGAGAGAACAGAGAATCAGACATGAACTAATAATTATTGCTTGCTTCCTAATATGCCAAAGGTAGAGATTTCTTCTTTATTATGCTAAAGTCTGAGTTTTTGTACTCATTATGCTAGTTATAGATTTTTATGTTATTCTATTTAGCATATAGTTATAGCTCCTTCATCTTGGGCTGTTCTCTAAGTGGTGATGGAACACTGAAATTTCCCCACTGTGGGATTAAAAGATCTCTTAATATATAACAGCAACCTTGGGCTGTTATAGATTATTATTTGATTAATCAGACAATTCACTTTATATTAAGGATTTTGGGACTCAGCCCCATATATAGGTGGTGCCAATACTGATACTGTCGTGTCCTGTTCTGTTCCGTGTTTTATTTTGAAATCATCCTGACTTGTTCTTGTCCCTAGATTTACTTCCTGTTGTTGATTACTGCCCCACCCTTGATGTGCCTCACCTGTGTCCTGGTGTATTTTAGTTTGTGTAAATCTAGTCTGTTTTTTGTGTTTTTGCCTGGATATAAAAAATTTGTAACTGCCTCTTGACTTTGTTTGTCTGTTTTTGAGCCACTTTGGTACTATAGGAGGATCTTGGAGTGACGTCGTTGTTGATAGTTTTTCAGCGCCAATCACGTGTCTGTGTGGCAGGAAGGCAGCGACTGCTATCAGAATACTAGAGAGTTCGCTAGTTTAAGACGTTTGGAGAGAGGTTTTAATAAATCAAATGGTCCGTTCCTGTTGTGTGGTCGGTTGTATGGCCCGCTGGGGACAGATTACGTTTTTTTTCTCATTTGGAAAAGAACAGCGAAAAGCGGCAGCGGTAAAGTGGTTGCCCTTTTATGCTGTTACCTACGGTAAACGTAGAACGGGAAGCCGGGGGGAGTTTGGTTGCTCACCCCCCACGGCTTCTTGTTCCACATTTACCGTAAGTAACAGCAAAAAGGGACAACCCGCTGTTAATATACTTTATCACGCCAAGGAAATGCTGTGCCACTTTACCGCGGTGAAAAACCCTGTGATCACTTTGCTGCTCTCTGATGTGGAGGATGTTCGCTGTTGCGAACCGCTCGCAGCAGCGAACAGTTTAAGGCAGTAAGATCCTTCTTCAGTGATCAGAGGTCGCACGTTTTGTTTGTTGTTGTTTCGGGGGCATACTGTGACGCAAAACTCCGGTTATCTCTGTCTACATGCAACTGCATAAACAGAGTTTTCAAAAATCTCCACTTTGCCCGGAGGTTTTTTATCTATTCGTTTATGGTGCGTTGTCATGTGGGTGACAGGTGCGAACAAAGAAAAATATCTGCGGTTTAGCAGATACCCGGCTACGTGTGGACGGGGCCTCAGTTCATCCTCCACGTCCTTCACTTTGGGTTGCTGGTCAAGTTGGATCTTGTGGCTCACAAATGATCAGCTTTGTTTTCTTTAGCAAATCAAACTTCCTGTCCTTGGTGCTCTCTTCTTCAACTTCACAAGTGCCATGCCATAGAGAATAAAACCTTCTTTTACAATCTGTGTTTCCATGGATATTGAATGCCAAATAGAATCTGTATAGAATTTAAAATAAAATAAAAAAAAATGTTATAGATGCTGTGGTCTGGGATCGTTTCTTAGCAGTAGACATGTCTCATTTTTGGTACACAGCAAGTAACACACCTCAAACTATTGCTCTATTCATTTGTTTACGTCTGAAAAGTAAGCTCAGTCATGCTTCATGCCTTGTCGTGTGCTGTGCTTGTGTCAAGTGTGTATTGTGTTGTGTGTGTGTGTGATTGTGTGGGCTGTGTTGAATGATAGGGGATGAGAGGGGTTGGAGCCAAATACGCAATAAGCCCTTTCAAACGGTTGATTTCTGTTTACTTTGGGTCTTGTTTTTATTTTGCATCTTGTTTATTGTTTTCTTTTTTGTATCTTGTTTATTGTTTGTATTGTTTCTTGACTATCTATGTTTTCATACAAATGGCCTTGCCTTGCTTTGGATAAAGAAAACAACTGCCACCTGTTAGATGTGCTGAAACTCATGCGAGGGCACAATGTCAAATGGAATAAAGCGGTTTTATTATGTTAAGAAGGAGTCAAGCAGACGCTGTGTTGAGTGATAAAATAAGAGCCCTCATCAGCACAGAAGAGACTTTATGAATTATTTAAGGTGGGGAGCGATTTACAGTAGATGCCAGCTGATTTAGCCTGGAACCACTTCCTCCTCATCTCATTATTTACTCCCCCTCCCCCTGCTCCAGTCAATCTATAGAATAATAGAAATAATACTTTCATCTTTTTATGTCCTCTTTATGCCATGCTTAATAATGTTGTCCTCCTACTCTTTATCTACCCACTTCCATCCTTTTGGCCCAGATCTGATTTCAAAGTTTTCCGTCTTACTTTTTTGTTAAACTTTCTGATTTCTGTTTTAAAGCTCGATTCCTTTTCCCCACTACTGTTCAAATTAGTGCAATACTGCATGTCTCCTCCGCCATTCTTAAATAGATTTTAATGAGAGATGATGAACAGGAAGTAGGTGCTGACTCAACTTTGCCATACAAGTCTGTGAAATGTGAGTCAGTAAAATACAGTCCTGAATTTACTGACTTAAACTTGACTTACGCCGGGGCTCATTATCAAACTGCAATTAGACTGAAATAAAATCTAGGTCTTAAAACAGTTTTCATCTTTAGATTTTACATGCATGTGTTTTTGGTCATATCTTCATATCAGCTTTATCAGGCAGAAAAGTGAGAAAGAGAGGACCACCCTCACTCAGCAAGAGTCAAAAATGATGCCAGGACTGAAGAACCAGCACTACCGCTTTTTTATTGTACATAATTATGTCCTGCACAGACTACATTTTAACCTCAACATGTCGCACACTTCTGTCTTTTTGCACAATCAGTGATTCTATCTATGCCAAATGTGCATGTACATTTCTTTATTGTGAGTTCAATAAAGTTTATCTTATCTCATCTTATCTTAAAAGAAAACATGCTTTCTAATACGATGAAGACAACCTGTTCTGATTTGTAAAAAAATTGTTTGGAAAATGGGTCGATAGTTTTAGATAAATATTGATATAATTAAATTAGATAAGATAAGGAATTGCTCCTGTTTTACATGTTAGAAAAAACACTATATATTAGTAACAATTCATCTTCAATCAATTAAATACAAATGCATCAACAGTGTTGTGTGTTTTTTTTTTTTTTACTGAGTTGTGTTGTGTAGTTTATACAAACATCTTATCAAATTGAAAGCTCCCAGATGCGCATTGTATCGACAGGCTCTGAAAGTTACCCAACCGCCTTTGTGATTATTATGCAAAAAAAAAAATTCTGAGCTTGGAACCATGTTACTACGTTGTTCCCTCATTAAAAACAGAGCTAGAGTTGTTTTAGATCAATCCATCCTAATATCAGAGTTACAAACATGTAAATCTTCCCCTTGAGTCTAAAAGCTCCTGTCTCAGTCCTGTAACACTATGTCATTGTACCACTATGACATCACACGGCACGGTGGCTGAGTGGACAGCACTCTCGCTTCTCGGTTGGACCAGGGCCTTTCTGAGTGGAGTTTGCATGTCCTCCTCGTGTCTCCGTAGGTTTCCTCCGGGTACTTCGTTTTCCCCTACCACTAAAAACATGTACAATAGGTCTGGCATGCGCCTCCTGTACTGGCGACCCCGCTCCCATCTCTGTGTGGAGTCAGAGGACAAATGCCCTAAAAATAACAATTGTAAACCGCTTTGTGACTCTGGTCTGTGAAAGGCGGTATATAAATAAAGATTACTTACTTACTACTACTACTACACAACGTATTAGCCCATAAATTAGTTTTGGAAATGTATCCGGTGAACTTACTGTGTTTTAATAATAAACTCCCTCTGGTGGCTGCATATGGAGTTACAGGCAGATAGCTTTTTTCTCCTTTTTTTCACCATATATTTTCTATTAAGATATATTTCACATGCAAAAACATGAAATGTAAAAATATCAATATCAATAATACAGTCCAAAAATAATGAATATTATTTCTTCTTTAATAATGCAATAAAAATGAAGGATTTTAAAATCTAGCTGGCTTAGGTGTCTCCTAAGAAAAAGTGTCCAAACATACAACATAATATTTGCTTTGTGCAGATGACCTGGAGGAGGTACTTCTAAGCATTAGGGTTAGAAGTGAGAGGAGGAGGCGAGGTGAGTGAGTGCTGCAGAGACATCACCAGGAATGATTTGGAGCCTGCAGGTGTTTTCATATCCTAAAAGAGATCGATATTTGCGTTCATTCTGACGCTGACTGTACCGCGCTGCTCCAAATAAATAACCATAATCACAAAACGCCCCGAGATTGACTCTCAATAGAATTATCATTCTTTTCTCTTTGGCAGATTTGGATATTGCTCCTTCAGGGTTCTCAAATGACTTTGTTGTGGAGTGTGCGGCGTGTACTTGTTTATCCGTGTGTCGGGCCATTCAAATTTCACTGAGTCAATGAACTATGGGCATTATATGAAGTGTGCGCAGCTAATCTCGTGACAGTGTATAGATGGTGGCTCGTGTGTGTAGCTGAGGGCTGTGAACAACAACAGGCCACAGTAATTGAATCTTCATCTGAGCCCTTAAGACCAACATTAGACAAAGAGAAGCTGCCTGCCCGCTCTCATTACAGTGCAGGGCTGATGGAGCTAGTGCGCAGCAGCGGGCTCTGTCTTTCATCATTAAGCACAGATGCCCGACAGATGAAGTGATATGCAGTGGCGCGCGGGTAGAATGTAGAGTTTAAAGCTGCTCTATCAAATTATTTTATGAAATCAATGCATTTTGTTCAGATCTAGACTCATTTTTTGTCATTTCTGTGTGAGTTTTGTATAATTAAGAATCCAGCCTATTTTCTCTACAATATCTAAAAAATAGACAATCAAATGTAATCTGTTTTAGGACTCTTTAGGAGTACAGACACGTGACTCTTTGTGAAGCTAATGCCTTGTAGTTTTGGCCTCTGATGACTTAGTTCCTAAAATTATTAGTGGGAACAAACTCCATCGTTGGCCTCTAAATGTTCATTAGTGCATAAACAGGAGTGATGTTGGGTTTTGACAATTCTTCTTTCACAACCAAGGTAAATGTAAGTGAAAATGTAAGTAAAGGGACCTGTAATGAAGCAAAAAGGCAGAATACATGAACAATCCATAAGCTAAAATTTAGGGTTTTTCTGATTCACCCCAGAATGTTTCATTTGACTGGAAATAAGGGTGTATCCAGACCTGCTCTTTTGGTCCACTTTAAACGGACCAGGATTTTATGCAGGTCTGAATACACACAAACAAATCCTGGTCCGGACCAAAGAATCAGACCGAGACCCACTTTTTTAGGTGGTCTCGGTCCACTTCGAACAAACTTTGGTCCGAGTCGAATCAGATCTGAATACAACCAGTGTCGATCCGACACAACTCCAAGATACGTGTGCATTTTTTGGGCTTAACAAGCCACCGTAGACTAGCCTGGCTTTGCCAGACCCTTGTAGTTCCGCCATGCTCCACCAGAGGCGTTTGGCTGAACCACATGGGTCTGGTATCGACACCATAGTGAACGCCTTCCCCAGATTATTTTTTAATCGACCAATCAGGATTGCCGGTGTTACGTGGGGTTTGCACTGCCTTCTCAAGCTTCTCTCATGCAGCAGCGAGAGGAATCCAAGATGGCGGATGTCCACGAATCTTTTTAAAAGAGTAAATACGATCGAATTAAGACACGGATGTCACTTTTAATGCAATTCCTGTTGACACACTATGCAGCAGGGTTGCCAGGTTTGGTGGTTCCCGCATATTTTTTTCCAAGAGACTTGTAACGACAATAAACAGAATCATGACAGCCCAAGTTGATTACATTACATTTTTAGCGTGTTTTTTTTTTTTGGGTTATTCTCGCGGATTTTGGGTTGGAAAATCTTGCTGGGATTTGGCAACCTATGGGAGCCGTGTGCTTCGATGTGAGTGGTTGAAAGCAGACTTCATTCAAGATAATGGACAAGTGGTCTATCCAATCACATACAAGGATTTTTTTTACAAAGCCCTGCCTTCTGAAATCCAACCACTATGGCTCAGTACCAGACTCATGTGTGAAGTGCAGCGAACTACATGGGTCTGGCGAGAGTCAGGCTAACCGTAGACAGGAACTGTGAGGAATTAGCCACGTGTCACAGCTGCTAACGCCTGCTACACAACAACAATGAGCCGTGGGCAGACCTGGAGCAACGAGGAGACACTGTGCCTTCTTGAAATTTGGGCAGAGGCACATATAACCCAACTTCATGAAAAGACACACAAAAATGTGGTCGTTTTGCTCTAAAAGAGCAAACATAGGCAGCGCAGACAACTCGATATTTTCCTCCATTTCCGCATCTATTCTCCGTGAGCTCTCGCTGTCCAATAGAAGCGCCGATCGTCACACGCGTCGATATGTTTATAAATTATTATGATTATGATACAACAACAAAAGGTAATATCAGAGAATTAATACAACTGGAAGACATTGCATGTAATATGACAGACAGCAAATGCAAGAACTTGCTCAATACACAGAATCTATGTTTAAAACGAGATATTTCTGTTGTATTTTGCTAAACACTTCTTACAAGAATCTTCTGCACTAACTTCCCACATATGCAACAGAACATTGGATATTTCATTTTTCTGTCCCCAAAATGGCACTACTGCAAGTCCATGTTCAAAGAGTAAAAAAAATACATAATAATTTGTGTGCACCTGAAGCATGTGTCTGTTTGCTGGTGGTTGTGGAGCTGCTGCTGGAGCGTGGAGGCAGGCAGAGACCCGGCCTGTCTCTGAGTGCTGAGCTGCTGACTAATAACTCTTGGAGGTGGAGGCTTTCTGCTCTGTAGTCACCGCTGCTTTAACTGTTGTCTTAATGGACTTGTACACGCTCACCAGCCCCCACCCTGTCGCAATTCAGCCCCACTCTGCAAAAAGCATTGGAATGGAATTGACTGATAACCACAAAATGCATTACAGTTTATAATAGTATATCGATATTAATAAATAAACAAGACTAACCGTCCAAAGCCCTGCAAGCGAGAGTTCCAGACAAATACAGCTGTTGTATATGAGAAGTTATGGGACGAAGGACAGTGAAGATTTATGGATTTTTAACGTTGTAATTTCAAAACTTTAGCTGCGCGGAAGAATAGGTTCACAAAAAAAGACAATCCATAGATGAGATACACAAATGAAAGTTCAGAGTTGTGTTTTTAGAAATTGTGATGGTCACCGTGCGCAGCTGAGCATTGTAGCAGAAGTCGTTTGATATTTAAAGTTATTTTTTGTTGACCCAATAACAAGGCAAGTGACTACAGTCCTTGAACAAGTTGGTATAGAGGAGAATAAGAAGGATAAGTCTAAAACACGTGACCATTAATTTACGATGACAATTTTGAAATTAAAACTCACTCAAAGTCACTTTGTTCCCGACACACTCGACACTTTACTAAAACTTTCATTAAATATTTGAGTAACAATATAATATCGTGAAACGTGAATCATGAGAAAGCTGGCTCCTTCACACAGACAACAAACTGTCAATCACATCAATAAATCACAAATTATGAAAGAAAAAAAATCCTGAAATGCGCATGTAAAAAAAAGTTATTGGACAAAGGGCCTTCTCAGTTTGTTTTGGCTTTGGGTAAATGACATGATAAACTGGTACTTTTATATCAGAAATACTTTTGCTGTTTGTTGCCATCAGTACCTCAATCATAGAATTGACCAAAAAGGAGACATTTTTTAATTGGACCTGTTGTTGCCGAGAGAATCTTACATCCAGCCAGCATCACCACAAATCTTGTGCTTCCCCTCGGCTCGTTCTCGTTCTCTCCTTCCCTCTCCTGGATCTGATGAGTTTTATTGTTGTTTTAATGGCGTTGTGCAATCTCCAGTGGAACTCCAAAGTCGGTGGATTAAAGTTGAAAACATGATGACATTGGGGCCAGTGCCAACACGAATGTTCCATTTCACTGAGAAAGCTCTGTGCAAGTATCAATTACAACACGCGACAGGCGCCAATTATGTCTACATCACTTTATCGAGTTATTAAACAGCTGCTTGAGAATTTCAATATTCCATACATCAAACATATACTTATTTCATTACTTCATAAGGCACAACCAGTGGGGGCGGATCCCGGCTCAAAAAGGTTCATGAGCACATGGTCTGACTGTACAAATATGTAGAAAAAAAAAGTCCCTGCATAAATAGTTCTTAGTTTAGAACTTAGTTAGTTCCCTGTTCTTAGTCGACTCTAGGTTGGACCAATGGCTCAATGTGTTTGTTTAATTCTTGCATTTCTTGTGTCTGAAGTTCGTAAATTGACAACTTTGCAAAGTCCTCTGACTTGACTGCTGTTGTGATTTCAGGCAATAAAAAATGAATGTAGTTGGAGTCAATTATTTGATTTATAAACACTATTTTATTAGAGAAATCAGGTCAGTTAACACAATACATGAGTTTGCATTTAGTGGGGCTCACTATCTAAAAAAGTGGGCCCCCCTGGATCAAAGCCCCAATGTTTTATAAAGAAACGCAGAATAAAAGCATGTTGGAGAGCGCATACCTGTTTATTACACATTGAACGCTCCATTGGTCCCAGTGGCAGCTCTAAAATCTCCAGCTCAACCAATATAAACTCTTCCTCTTGCCGGAGATCTGCGTTCCGAGAGAGTTGCTGCTATTTGCTACCTTGATCATCGCTGGGTCAGCATTTCAAAGTCGTGATGTATGTCAAACGACTCCACATAACAAAAATATGTCAAACGTTACATGCATTGTCAATAAATACATCTTGAGAGGCATTTCTGTTCGCGCACACTCAAAGCCTATAGCGCTCTATCGCTCTGACTGTTATTACAGCGGCAGGACAACCACATGCTGTTATGTTCGATTGTCTCTGATTTAGATTTCATTGCTTACACTTCCACCTGAGCTTACGTCAATCCATTTTTGATTTAGCGCCCCTCATGACAAATAGAGAGTATAGGTGTCACCACAATTGCACAGTGGTTAAATATGAGTGCTAAAGAATGGCTGTTATTATTTCTGTGACCTATTGATTTCCCACAGAGACATTATCCTTGGCCGAGGACAACAGCACATTTTACTTTGTGATTTCTGCCATTTTTCATCAAGGCGCACATACTTAACATCAGCGGTGAGGATGGATTACTGAGCAGGCCTTGGAGGTACAGAGGCAGGCATAAAGACTGGACCCAGTGGGATTCTCTAATAACTATTGTTAGTTCAGGTTTCGCAGATGAATAAACATTAGAGAGAAAAAGGGGACAAGACAATAAAACCAATTGATTTCTAAATACCCACTTTGAATGGAGTGTTTGTCTTAATCAATAGCAATAATCCAGCGCTATTGAAACGTCATGAGTCACTGAAGTGTGAACACGTGACGCTTCAAGACTGAGAGATGGATTCAATAACTTATAATTACCCAATAATAAATCTGGCTTATTGATGCCCAAGATATTCTGTCCTTTTCCAGTATTCATGTAAAGTGCAGGATGTTCCTTCATTTGTGCCACAAGCAGCACTGTTTGTATTTATCAGAATTCTCCTCATAACGCTGAGGTCCAACTAGTTTTCCAACTATGAGGAACTTAACCAGAAAACAATTGTAGGATACATTTTTTTCACAAAAGCAGGATTATAGGGAGAATGTGATACAGGCACAGCAGAACATACACTTCATACAAAAGCCTGTGTCTTATTCACACTATATGCACATAGAGATTAAAAAACAATTGAATATCGCAAAAGAATTATAAATAAAAGATAATCAGCTCTGATCAACTACCATCTGATCAGAGCCAAAGTTTCCCTGGTGAGAAAAAAACTGTAAATAAGCCTGATTTATGTGAACTCATTTTGACACAGAAATCAATATATCTCAATATTTCTCCGCAAACCAGCTTCCTTGGCATGTTGAAATTCTCTGCCCATGTGTTTTCTCTCTCTCTCTCTCTCTCTCTGTCTCTGTCTCTCTCCCTCTCTCTCTCTCTCTCTCTCTCGCTCTCTCTCTCTCTCTCTCTCTCTCTCTCTCTGTCTCTGTCTCTCTCCCTCTCCCACTAAACATCCGACGTCCACTCAACCTCCAGATCACGTCAAAATCGCGTCGGTCGGTCGTGACCTTTTATTTACGTCCAAACGACGTCTGTGCAAGGTGCGCATCTGGACGTAAAACAATGACCTCCCATATACGTGGATATGACGTCCAATCCCGACCTCCCCTAGACGTTGAAAACAGGTCATCGGCCGACCGACGCAGTACGTCTTGATCTAGCAATACAATATATAGGCTGTTAAGCAATCTCAGGGTACCTGATGGTAGTGTAGTGGTTAAGCAAATGTGTGCAGCCTTGGTTACGTGGGTTCGAGCCCACATGTGTGTATTATTATCTTTACATATTTGTTTTGATTTTTAACGAACAATTTTTTTCTGTTTGGTTAAAGACTAATAAACACTCAACATAGGATTACGTAGTGGCTAATAATAAAACTTGTGAATGTATGCATTTGTTGTGCTAACAATCTCAAGTTTGCAAATAAGGGGTGAGCACTTGAGATTTTATGCAAATGCATGGGTTCACAAGTTTTATTATTAGCCACTACATAATCTTATGTTGAGTGTTTATTCGTTTTTAACCAAACAGAAAAATTGTTTGCTAACAAGTGAAAAGTCAAAAGTTTTCCGACGGAGATTAGAACCTGCGTCGTTGCGACTGAAGTCTCATTACGCAACCGCTACACCACGGCCAGGCATGTTACTGACTACTGTGAAAAAATAATAGATAACACCCTAAACAACCGACGCACACTTATGCGCCGCGCGAGTATAACTTGGGCTTTACAGCCTGACACGTGAGTCGCTCGGTCGAGGACCTGTTTTCCACGTCTAAACGACGTAAGGTGTGCATCTGGACGTAAAGCAATGCCTTCCCAGACGTTGATATGACGTTGAATCTGTACCTCTGTCGCTGCCCTGCTTTATTTACTTGGAATCACCCTCTCTAGTAAGTACACAGTCTGCACAGTTTTTAGATATAGATGTATCATTTCCACATTGAAAAGAGTTGGAGACAGAAACTCAGTTGTTTTCTCACGTATACGTGGATTTTGTTAAGTATATTTTGTATATTATCTGTATTTTGAATTGCCAGTGCATGAATCTATAATAATAACGGCTGGCACTGCTCAGCTGAAAGGGAGACACCTTTTTTTAGTTTTTAAGTTAAAGTTTAAAATATGATATTGTTTTTCATATTTCAAACTATTTTTAACACATTCAAATTCTTAGGTCAGACTGTCCAACAAAGTATGTGTTAAAAAAAGGTTAAGATTCTTGAGTTTTAAAATAATAATTCAATTCCAAAATGTAAAGTTACTGTATATTTCACAATGGTTTATAAACTGCAAAAAGACAACAGTACTTAGTAAACTAAGTTTAAAAACAGGGAGATCAGCTTTAATATTTGGGACACTCCCATCATTTAGACACCTGTGATGTCATCAGTTGGAGTTGAGTTCAGGTGTGGGACCATGTGGGACCATAGGAGCACACAGATGTTACCTGCTGCAGAAAGAGAGTTTAATGTTCATGTATTGCTTTGTTTAATAAATGGACTTAACGTCTTCCCAGGTCTTCAATGTCAGAGACTTTCACTTCTTCTCACTGTGGCTGTTTAAATGTTATTGTTAGCTGCAAATATTAAATATCCATTCATCTGCTGGTAGCAAGCTAAGTAGCGCTTGCAACTCTATTCAATTTCTTACTTTTTCTTATAAACTTTAAAACCAGCCATATGTTAATTAAAATACATTTACCTTTGCTAATGCAGTCAATTATTGTGAAATCCATAGAGTATAATTTCATGATTGTTGCAATAATTAATGTTCTGTGTGTATTCCTAATGTGTCATGTGTGTTTGAGTCTTACAGGTGTCAGACTGTGTTGAAGGTGTTCAAAGGTAAGAATCACACTCTCACACATTGATTGTTGTTCTGTATTAATATGTTGTTTTTAGAATAAACCATTATTTGGTGTATTCTCTTTGAAAACATCTATCTTTTTCTCAGATTGTTCAGCAACTCACTCAAGATGAGGGAAAAGAGCAACAAGGGGAAAATGCCCCCTCGGAAATGCAACATATAGAGTAATACAGGGTAAGTAGCTTTCAGGGCTCATTTGTGTCCATGTGCAAAACAAATGCATATTTGCAATTGTTTTTTACATGGAATTACTCCAATGACCAAAGCCTTATCCCAAGTTTCTCAGACGGGAGTGTCTTCCAGTGTCTCGAGCTAGTGCAGTGCCAAGGTTTGTATCACATGGTGATGGATCGAGTGGTTTGAGGCTGTTGGAGCCAGTTTCCTGTGTTTTCCTTTGCTGCCTCCTGCCACTGTGTGGCGCCACCTAGATAGTATGCCCTATATAAGTGGGGCACTAATGACAGACAGGTGTTGTAGTGTGGAGGCAAACATCTTTCGACCGTTGTTTGTTACCACAGCTTTATATTTGTGTACTTGGCAACAATAAAGGATTGTAGAACACAGTATTTTGCTCTATTTGGATGGTGAGAGACACGCGTCCTAGACGCCAACACACTGCATCCAGCGGACCTTGCACAGGGCAAGTTTTGGCCGCTACATTGTCGAAAGATAGCCTCAGGTACCGTCTGGGCGTGAAGATTGCGTCAGCTGTGATTGGCACAGCGCGGTTTCCTGGAGAGGAGTGGACCCACGCCTACCGTGGCGGTGACTCGTTGCCACAGGGGCGCGGCGAACCGGCGGACTGTCGGCGGGAAGGAGGAAAGGGCAAAAACACCGGAGAGAGCACCGGCGTCCTCCACCACCAGCGCGGGCGAGGGAAGACTCGGCGCGCAAACTGTCCTGTCCTGCAGCACGGATCGGACCGCAGAGGAGTGGACCGCGGAGGAGCTCGGCACCGCGTTTGGAGAAGGCTACGCGTGGTGAGCAGTTCTGATTTCTGTGTGCGACATAATTCCGCACAGACTACACGTTTAGGAGCGGTACATGGACTGTGAGGTGGACACTGTAAAAAGGAATACTGTAAAAAATGTGCACCAGGGATTTGAACAAAACTGACAAAAAAGAGAGAGCTTCAGCTGCTGCAGCTTTGGTTAAAATAAAAGCTAAGCAAGCTGCGCTTCTAGTTAAAATGTCATTTTTGGAAGAGAAATATGAACTGGAAGCAAAGCAACTAGCCATTAAGAGACAATTGGAAGAGCTGGAATTTGAAACTAAAATGACTGAAGTGACAGCTAAACTTGCAGTGTTGAATGCCTCAAAGAAGCATCGGCATAAAAATAAATCTCTTCCAATAGAGCCTAGGGTGCAAACACAAGTCCCAACCACAACTGTCCCTGCAGTTATAAAAGAAACTAGGACTGATGATGACTGGGATGGATTTAACTGGGAGCCACCAGTTTATGTACCCACTTTGGTGGGTTCACTTGAGCCAACTGGGACCGCTGATGACTGGGATGGATTTGACTGGGAGCCACCAGTTTACATTCCCACTTTGGTGGATGCGCTTGAGCCAACAGGGGCCGGTAGTGCCACACAAATGGCTGATGTGAACTGTTCATCTTCACCAGACCGTCGGGAGGACTTTGAGATTTCCCTTATGGACCATGAGCGAACGGTGACATTGGATTTGGACACTGAGACATGCTCGTGGAAAAAGATGGACAGTACAGAGGATGAAGAGCAGGAAACTTCTGCTGTTCCTGTCTTATTGACTGCCTTGCAGCCTGTAGTGGGAGGCCTGCTGCAGCAGAAGCTGGCCTGCAGTGGCCCAGACATGGTCACACCAGGCCACACCAGGATTTTTCCACTGCCACAGTGGCGTAGTAAAAGCAAGCACAACAATGCTTTTGTAAGAAACACTCATTTTGATTTTGTTGTTCTCGTGAACTGTCTTTGGATTCTGTATGTGCTTTCAGCCAGCAAAATGTTTAAGCTAAAGTTGCGCAAAGCTTTCAAAAGAAAGCGCTGGAAATAGTTTTGAATAATGAAACATAACAGGATGGATATTAAATGCCAAATGTATTTTCTGTGTATTGAACAATGACTTTGAATATGTGGACATTGAAATTTTGTGTTTTTTGAAAAATATGTTCCCAATGTGACAAACTTGCTAAGTTAAAGTATGGCTCCATGTTTATTTGAATTTGTAATTGTTTAGCTCCTGGCTTTCACAATTAAGGGGCCGGTGTGTTGGAGCCAGTTTCCTGTGTTTTCCTTTGCTGCCTCCTGCCACTGTGTGGCGCCACCTAGATAGTATGCCCTATATAAGTGGGGCACTAATGACAGACAGGTGTTGTAGTGTGGAGGCAAACATCTTTCGACCGTTGTTTGTTACCACAGCTTTATATTTGTGTACTTGGCAACAATAAAGGATTGTAGAACACAGTATTTTGCTCTATTTGGATGGTGAGAGACACGCGTCCTAGACGCCAACACACTGCATCCAGCGGACCTTGCACAGGGCAAGTTTTGGCCGCTACAGAGGCATTAATAGAAAGTTATGTGTTGTTCTACATCATGGTGCTAACGCCCCTTAGGCTTCGCTATGGGTATACTCCTGAAGCATCTTGCTTCCCGCCAGAGAGAACAAAATGCTCCAATCACCTGCCAGTCCCATCTATAAATAGCCCTCTACGGCCCGTACCAACCACTTTTCACTCTGGCGCCACTGAGAGAAGAACTACTCACTACTTGAAGATGTCGTCTCCTTCCCCGTCGCGTCCGAGAACCCCGTCGCCCTCCGGCGTCGGACGAAGACGGTGCAGGAGCTGCAGGACCAGGATCTCCCGCAAGGACCAGCACAGCCTGTGCTTCCTTTGCCTGGGCGTGTCCCACTACCAGGGAGACGAGGCTGGCTGCGAAGCGTGCCTCTCTCTCCCCAGGGAGGAGAGAGAGCGCCGCATGGCGTTTGTGGACTCCGCGGTGGCTCACCCGGGTTCCTCCCAGGAGGACGAACTCGAGGTGGAGTATGTGCCGCTAGACCTGCCTCCCGCACCCAGGGAGTGGGGAGACTGCGTCGTGGAGGAGGAGGAGCGTGAGGAGGATCAGGCTTCCTTCATCACGCTAGACGAAGCTTCCTCCTTGTGCGAGCCGGACCGGTTCCCGCTCGATCACATGCCCCGCCTCTTCATGGCTGCGGCGAGGACCATGGAGACTCCATTCCCCCCGCAACCCGCGCAACCCAGGGAAGACTTCACCTCGGTGGGGTCTTCTCAGAGAGGGAGGAAGAGGCAGGCGCCCACGCTGTGTCCGCGTATGGAGCCGGTGTTCCACTACGCCACACGTGACTGGACCAAGCCCTCCACAGCTAAGAAGCCTGCCCTGGGGTACGGTCCTTACTGTGAGGTCCAGGACTGGTCCTGGTCCAAAGGCGTACCGGAGGTCGAGGATGCGGTGAGGCTGGCGCTCCTCCCCAAATCCTCCCTGTGGCCGAGCAGCAAACCGCTCCTCCCCACCGACAAGGACCGGGTGTCCATGTCGGTACTGGACCGGTGCTACGCCAACGCGGCACAGGTCGTTGCGTTGGCGAGCAACATGGCGCTCATCACAGGCGCCTTGGACAGGTCACTCGCCGCTGGCGAGGCGCTGAGCGGCGAGGACCTTACCAGAGCCAGGACCACCACGGCAGCGACCCTCCGCATGATCCAGGCGCTCGCAATTGATGGTGGCCGGACGATGGCAGCGGCGCAGGTCGGTGCCCGTCACCTATGGCTGGGGCTTGCTGATGTCCGAGAAGCGGAAAGGAAGCAGCTTCTGGACCTCCCCATCTCCACAGAGTCCCTCTTCGGCCCAGATATGAGAGGTCTGATGGAGAGACTCGACGGAGCGGCGAAGGACTCCGCCAAGTTGGCTCCTCATCTGGCGCCGCGTCAACAACGCCGCTTCTTCGAGAGCAGAGAGAGAGGGAGAGACAGGGACCGGTCCCCGCTACGTCGCCCTGCCTTCCCCCAGACCACTGCACGCTCGGCGCGGCCTGCTCCAGCGAGATCCAGGGGCCAGGATTGGACCTCCGGAGGCCCAAGAGACAGATCTCTCCAGCGTCCTCCCCCTTTCGGTGGTGGGAGACGCGGGGGAAAAGCTTTTTTCAATAAAAGAAAGAATCAAGTTTATCCACTGTCTCAGTCCTCTGTTCCCTTGCACCACATGCCGTCACAGGTAGAGGGCAGTGTGGTCTTACACACAGAGCATACACACGGTACAGAGGGTGGTTTGATAGGAATGTCTCAGACCACCGCTCAGAGTAACAGATCTAGTGTTTCATATCTACAGGGAGTGTTGAAACGCGAGGGTCCCTATAACAGGGGATTTACGGTCCCTTCTAGCTCCACTGTCCCTCACACTTCTCCAATTAGCAGGGGTCTGAAGCGTAAGAGGCAGGCTGTGGTTACCGAGGCAACGGATCAGGGTCCGTCTGCCCCGCACTGCAGAGAAGCAAAGCTCGCTGCTATAAGTGGAACAAGGGGCAAGGACTCCTATGTTTCGCGCAGCAAGACAAAGAGGAGAGCTGTGGTTACCGAGGCAACGGGTCAGGGTCCGTCTGCCCCGCACTGCAGAGAGGCAAAGCACGCTGCTGTAAGCGGAGCAAGGGACAAGGACTCCCCTGTTTCGCGCAGCAGGAAATGAGACAAGCCGTGGTTGCCGTGGCAACGGGTCAGGGTCCGTCTGCCTCACACTGCACGGAGGCAGAGCACGCTGCTGTAAGCGGAGCAAGGAGTAGGGTCTCCTCCGCAGCGCGCAGCGGGGCAAAGGGACAGAGACAAGCTGTGGTTACCAAGGCAACGGGGCAACACAGACTTCCTCGGCCCTTTCGTGGTTCCCCCCTCCTCTGTGAAGGCACCAGGAGTGTGGGGGGAATTAAGATCAGGTCTCACGGGCCCGGTGCCCCCTCTCACGTTCTTTTACCAGGTCTGGAGAGAGCAGGGGCTCCTCTCAGACGCGTGGCTGGACAGGACGTTACGCAGAGGTTATGCCCTACAGTTCGCGAGGAGACACCGCCGTTCCAGGGCGTTCGAGCGGCAAACTCCAGGCGACATGGGACAGAAGAGGCTCTCCAAAAGGAGGTAGCCTCTCTATTACTAAGAGGTGCTGCGATCCAGGTCGACCCGCAGGACGCTCACAGAGGGCTGTACTCCCCTTACTTTCTGGTCCCCAAAAAGACAGGGGGGGTGCGCCCTATTCTGGATCTGCGCGCACTCAACCAGTGCATCTCCAGACGGCCGTTCCGCATGCTCACTACGAAGCAGCTGCTGGAATGCGTCAGACCCGGAGACTGGATGACCTCCATCGATCTGACAGACGCTTATTTCCACGTTGCGATAGTGCCAGAGCACAGACGCTTTCTGCGCTTCGCTGTGGGAGAAAGGTGCTACGAGTACTGCCGCCTCCCGTTCGGGTACGCTCTGGCTCCTCGCACTTTCTCAAAATGCGTGGAGGCAGCCCTGATGCCACTCAGACAAGCAGGGGTCAGGATCTTAACCTACATCGACGATTGGTTAATCCTGGCTCAGTCCAGGGAGGTAGCCCTGGAACACACGCTCCGGGTTCTGTCTCACATACAACAGCTGGGCTTTGTGGTGAACAGAGAGAAGAGCAGATTACAGCCTACCCAGCGCGCACTCTACCTCGGTCTGCAGCTGGACTCGGTGGAGTTCCGAGCAGCTTTGTCCAGGGACAGACAGGAGAGCCTCTCACAGCTGGCCACCAGGGCGCTGACTGCCCCCAGCGTGTCTGCTCGTTGCCTCAGATCACTCCTGGGGATGATGGCAGCGGCCCATGCAGTTATACGCCTGGGTCTTCTCCACATGAGAGGGTTTCAGAGATGGTTCTCCGGTCTCAGGATTCACCCCTCCCGGGACGCAGCGACCATGCTCGTAGTTCCCCCCAGGGTGAGGTCAGACATCAGCTTCTGGCTCACCCAGAGCGTG